CGACGACGCCCCTTACGAAGTTGGAGATGAGAACCTGCTTAACCCTGAGCTGGTCCCTGTACCTGCCAACAGTTACCTGGGTAAGAAGCTGGACTTATCATCATCACATGAGGTTTTCTGTTTTAAATAAATCTGTTAAACATTTAAAGCTGTAATTCTTTAATCTTTCACAAAACATGTAAGTGCCGTCAGCATGTAGCCCAGAAGATGCCGGGGCTTGAACCCCTGACATTACTAACGAAGGACAAGCTGCTTTATCCAATAATCTGCAGACAATAAAACTAAGATATCTGGCTCCAGCAGTGCTCAGGGTCAGCCCACTGAGGATACTGTTCAAGGTCTTTGACGACGTAAAAACGCTGAGTCAACAGAACATTGAGATACTGGTGGTACTTGGAGGTACACAGAGTACACATTCCTGAGAGAATATTGTTTATGTTCATTCAAACCTCAGCTTTACACACACAACCTATTTTGTACTTTCAATGCTCTGTTGTTTTGAATTAAATTACTCCAACACTGTTGTTGCAACTGCTAGAAAGATTTTCTTTTTAAATCACAGGTTTATTTACAGCTACAATTGACAAAAACCATCGATTTATTACTTCTTAATGAGTTTGAAACGTGGTTTCAGTAATGGGAAAAGTCCTGTAACTGTGTCGGGGTCAACCGAGGGCAGCAGCGCATCACTGTGGTCACGCTTGTTAATGATGTCATAGTTCCTTCCTCTTTTTATCTCTGTGACCACAAACAATTGTAACATTGTACGTTTGCTTCACCATTCATCTGAGGCCAGAATCTGACGTCACTCACGTCTGACATGACTGTGTCTGTATTGAGGAAATATCCTGTCAAACTTCTGAATGTCGGCTATTATTAGGAGCGGATGCCACGTCTGAAACCGGTACTCACGTCGGTTAAAAAGCAACTTAAAACCTCAGGTGTAAATTACAACAGAACATTCTAGCAATATAATTAACCGTCCTGATTCTGTCCGTTCTCTTTACTGTAGCATGAAACATATTTTGTGAAAATCGCTGAATCTGTTTTCGTTTTTCTTTTTGCAAGAAACACTGAGAAATGTCAATGTGCCTGTAGTGACACCTGCTGGTTTGCAATTACAGTGCAAATAAATATCAACTACAGCACCACTGTCTTCCAGCATAAGGAAACTTGACTAATGATTTTAATTCCAATTTTTATTTCCCTCACACCACTCTTGTATTTCAGGCTTCTCCCTCGACTCAGGACACAGCATCACCAGAGCTCGAGGCCTGACCGTAGTAGCTGGAGCTCCCAGAGCCAATCACAGTGGAGCTGTGGTCCTGCTGAGAAAAGAGAGCGAGGCCTCCACCCGACTGTCTGTGGAACACACGCTGCAGGGACAAGGCCTGGGCTCGTCTTTTGGATATGACGTGGCCGTAGTTGACTTGAATGCTGACGGGTGAGTAACGCTGCGGTGACGAAGGCGGTTGGTGTGACGAACAAGAGCACGCACATGATCCAGGTCATGACTTTGCTTGAGAATAAGATGTTTTTTGTTTTGTTTTTTCATTTCTGCATAGATGGCAAGATGTAGTGGTGGGCGCCCCTCAGTTCTACATGAAGGACAGTGACGTCGGCGGCGCCGTCTACGTCTACATCAACCAGGCAGGACGTTGGGAGGACGTCACTCCTGTGCGTCTGGACGGAGCCAGAGACTCCATGTTTGGACTGGCAGTGGAGAACATTGGAGACGTCAATCAAGACGCATACAAAGGTTGGTTCCATTTGACGTCGGCGCTCACGCTGCTCCTCCGTCACCTGCTTGTTCACTAATGACTCTCTCTCTGATTCAGACATTGCTGTGGGGGCTCCATATGAAGACGGTGGTGCAGGAAAAGTCTACATTTACCACGGCTCGGCACAAGGAATCAAAACTACCCCTGCTCAGGTGGGGATTATTTAGGCTGCGTGTGAATCCAACAGCTTGTTCACGTCACTCTCTAGCCTGCAGAAGGTTACGTGAGCCATCACCAACATTTTTGTTCGACTTTTGCAACTACGACAAACAGTAGAACCTGATAATATTTACTAACACACAAAATAGTTTCACTTCCAATAGAGCTCCCCTGATGGGCACTTCAGCGCTGATCACCAGTATTTCTGCAGAGCCGTACACCTCCGACAACATCAACACAAAATGTCAATGTTGTGGCGTTCTAATTGGGCATTTATTGCTTACAATTGTCTATCCATCTATGTGAGCTGATCCTGCTGCTCCTCCTCCTCCTCCTCCCACCCGTGGCATCTTATTTTGTGGACTTGCATTACTGCCACCTAGTAGGTCTTCCAGTGCACTGCTAATCACTCCTGTTCAAAAACATTCTAGGAACTATTAAAAAAAGGAAGACGGACAAAGTACAGGCAGAGGGTAGTGATATAAATAAGAATGAGAGCTGGGAGGGGTACTTTTTGGAGGTTTTTTTTCACATAAATCCAGTTTTACACTTGATTCCCTCGTTGTTTTCCCCTTCATTATAGATCTTATCAGGACAAGACCACAAGCTGCAATTATTTGGTTACTCCCTGGCAGGAAACATGGACCTGGACCTGAACTCCTACCCTGACCTAGCTGTGGGTTCACTCTCCGACACAGCACTCATTTACAGGTAGTTATTTCATAGCTCATAATTAGTGAAATTGAAGCCTACTGATTTCTCTAACTGCTTATTTGAATGACCTTTTCTTCCAGAGCGCGGCCGGTCATTAGCATCAGGAGAGATGTCAAAATATCTCCACAGGAAATTGACCTCACCATTAAAAACTGTGGAAACAGTATTTGGTAGGTGCTGTGATTTTCCTGTAATTAACCAGTGATCACAGTCAAAACCTGACTAAAGTTAGTTTTGATTTTTTTCTGCTCTTAGTGTCACCGTGGACGCCTGCTTCGACTACACAGCAAACACTAAATCTTACAGTTCCAGACTGAGTAAGTGATGGAGGATTTACTGATCACACATACCTTTCTCCGTGGTTTCTTCAACAACACTGATGGCTCAAGACTAACTACCTATTGAAAATACATTAAAAATTCCCCAGGCACTGCAAAAAATAATTCACAAAAACATTTAATCAAATATACATTAATCTTCTAGTTTCAATTTATTCACAATTCTTTTACTCTATGTCTAACCTCTTCCTGTTTAGTTGAACACAATGCCGATTTACCAGTTAAGTGAAATTGGATCATTTCCCACCGTACACCTGATGATCTCTAACGTCACACTCAGGTGCCACAGCACAGTGGTCGGGAATCAGAGAACAACCGTATGGTTTTAACCTACTCTTTTCCCCACTCCTCTCCCTCTTCACTGCAGCGATCAGCTATTCCATCGAGGCTGATGGGGATCGCAGGAAGCAGGGGCTGCCCCCTAGAGTTATGTTCATGAACAAATCCACCAGTGACACAGATTACCTGTTCACCGGGACCATGGAGCTCCGCGGACAAAAGCAGGAAACGTGCATCAAGATAGAAGCCAAACTTAAGGTAGAACACACCGATGACACACTGCCAAAACGAAAGGGTTTATGGGCTGTGAACGCTCAACACTCACACTGGACACACGTCTGGCCCACACTCTGTACTGTGACATAGAAATTGATTAAATGACTAACAATCTGTCAGTATATCTTTTTTTATTTCCATATTCCGTAAACATCTTGACTCAAAAAACAAAAACAAATTTAAACATGAATATATATTTAGATTTAAGAACTTTCATTCTCTTCTTGCAAATTTATTTTTAAGAAAATAAAAATAAAACGTAATTACTGAAAACATCCAGTAATATTTTCACTGTTTAAATGAACATGTAACCGTCTCTACTCTCTTATCCTGATTCCCACAGGAAAACATCAAGGACAAAATGCACAGCATTCCTGTGGAGGTGTCTGCACACATTGTGAGCACAAAACGTCAAAAGACGAAGAACGGCCTCCCTCAGCTGACACCCATACTGGACTCTTCACAGCCCGACAAAGACGTGGTTGAGGTGAATGTCCATGAGTCAGCACGAATCATTACATCAGGGTTTATATTCACGGTTCGTCAGTGGCTGCGTTTCTATTTCAGGTCAACTTTGTGAAAGAAGGCTGTGGCAGTGACCACATATGTCGCAGTAACCTGAAGATGCAGTACAAGTTGCACTACAAACAGAACACCAGGCACTCGCCACTGCCCATGTAAGACCATAATTACCTCAGCCTTGAGGGTAAAGTCAGGAGTACAATGATTGGAGGGAGTCGTAAACACAACAGGCATGTCGAACAGTTCGATTGTTTCTGTGTGTGCAGTAAAAACAACCTCCCGGTGTTTCACCTCAACTACGAGAGGAAGGACTTGGCGCTGAGAGTGACCGTCAGCAACGCGAACGGAGACGATGCTTACGAAGCAAAGCTGCTGGCCACGTTCCCAGACACTGTGTCCTACTCAGGAGTGCGCTCTCATCAGACAGTGGTAGGAGCGCAGGAGAACTCGCCGCTAACACCGATGCTAATGTTTCAGACACTGTTTGAACAGAAGTGGGGAACACGTTTCACATGTTTTTAATTTATTTGATCTCTAAAATATATTACTGGATAAAGTCAGTTTCTTTCATACTCAAACAGTGGCCCGAAGACCACACACAGCCCAGACACAGCTTTGTAGTGGTCCGGTCTGTCCTAAAAACGCTGAGGGAAACGTAGGCAATAATACATGGCGAACACAGAGAGACTTCGACAATAAAACACACCATGAACATAACGTCCTCATAGCCTAGAAACAGGAAATCCACAACGCGTCACTTACGTGTCCTGAAGTGTTACAGGTGACAGCTCTTTACACCAATGTTCTCCCTAAGATTGCTTTGTTTGTTTCTACTAAAATGAACTACTACATTCCACATCTGACACCCTGTATTTACCCTGTTTTTTGAAGAAACCAATCGGCTTAAACAGTTTCAGTTCTGTTGACTTGGTTCAAAGCCAGCGTGTGTGTCACGGCTTAAAAAACTCTGTTTCATTTAAGGATTGACACTGGAATTTCCTAGAATATTACTTCATACTCACTGTCTTTAATGCCCTACAGACAAAGGCATGTGACACACACATCCAGTAGAACGATGCTCACACTGTAACCTCAACTTTTGACCTTTGACAAACCACATTGTGTTACACGTCATTTTTCCAGCCAATCATCTGCGTTGCCAATCAGAACGGATCCCAAGCAGACTGCGAGCTGGGAAATCCTTTCAAGAGGGATTCAGAGGTA